CTGTGGCCCAGGTCTCCATGGGTTCTACCCCATGACAGTTGGGCCCAACTGGCCTGCCCGCTTCGTACAACGCCATAAAAACCGCATTTCTTCTGGCTATTTACGTCCTCTTGACCGCGCACGTACTGCATCTGAAAACACTTTTATTTTTAAACATTTCTATCATCTTGTACAGTAATTTTGTACGATTGATAACCCAATTACTAATTTTTAAATAGCTCGGTTAAGCCATCGATAAATACAACCTTCAGTCTCAAGATATTTACAATTGGGATGAAAAAGGATTTATGATAGGGAAGACCAACATTCGGAGGAGAATAATGACAAAAGAGGCATATCAATCTGGACGAATCCGCTTCGTATCGCAGGACGGTACGCGTGAGTTTATCTCGCTCTTAGCTTGCGTCTGCGCGGACGGTACAGCTCTTCCACCAGCATTGATCTATCAAGGAAGCTCAGGAGACCTTCAGAATACGTGGGTAGATGATCTCTGCGAGGGAGATCAAGCCTATTTCGCCTCTTCTGAAAATGGCTGGTCGTCCGACAAATTTGGACTTGCCTGGCTGCATCTATTTGATAAATGGACTCGTACGAAAGGCAGTCGCAGACGTCTCTTGATACTTGATGGACACTCAAGTCATATCAACTGGGCCTTCGTACAAACCGCCGACCGTCTTCAGATCCTTCTTCTTGTCCTGCCTCCTCATACGACGCATCGTCTACAGCCTCTTGATGTTGGCTGTTTTAGCCCTCTTTCTCAGGCGTATTCTACTCGTCTTAATGCGTACACACATGGAGGATTAGGCTGGATATCAATGACGAAAAGAATGTTCTGGCCTCTATTTCGAGACGCATGGCAGGACGCATTTACGTTCAAAAACATTCACAAAGCCTTTGAAAAGACTGGGATTTGGCCATTAAATCAACAAAAAACGCTCAAATCACTTCAGAAACCAGAATCTACGTCTCGTACGCCTTCAAGAATCATCCCCTTATCAACTGTTACACCAACAAGCTGTCGTGCCGTCCGTCGTCTTCTAAAAATGTCTCCTTCTGAGCAAAAAGCTCAAATTCTCGAAAGAGCCGTACTACGCTTAGCTACGCAATTCGAGATCCAAAATCATATCAACAACGATCTCTGTACTGCTCTAGGCAATGAGAAAAAACGTAGACGACGCGGCGTACGATTAAATCTTCTAGGTCAAGAATCTAGTTCTGAGCCACAGTTCTTCAGTCCTACTAAGGTACTTGCCGCCAAAGAGTATCAGGACAGTAAAGAGGCTCGAGAACAAGAAGAGCTACGCCAGAAAGCTCTCGAGAAGGAAGAGAATGCTCGCCGTCGTGCAGAGCTAGCTCAACAGCGGCAGGACAACGCCTTACAACGCGTAATGCTTAAGCAGGCGGCTCGAGAAGAAAAGGAGGCCCAAAAGGCTAAAAAAGCAGCAGAAATGAAGGAGAAACGAATTGATCAAGTACTCAAAAAACAGGCCAAAGAGCTGGCAGCTAACGAACGTAAAAAGGAGGCAGCGAAACGCAAGCTTGACGCCGCTGCCGCAGCTGCAACCCGTACGGCCCTTGTAGCTCGAAAACAGGCCTCTCAGAATGCCTCTGTACGGCGCAGAAGCGTAGTGATCCGACCTAAAAAGGTTGTATTTCGACACAACAGGTCTACGCCAGTGGGCCAGTCAGCCGAAAACCAGGAGGATCGTACGGACCAAGCTGTTAACGTCGCTGGCGCAGAGGTGGCGCAAAAACAGACCCGCAGTGGTCGTACGGCTACTATGCCACAGCGCTTTATGCAATAGGCTTCTTTTTAGTACGAACAGTTAGAGAAAGTTTCAATCTACGTCTTTGTTCAAATTACAGCTTAATAGCTATTAAATTGATCAAGTAATCATCATTTTGATTGTTGGCGGCGGCGAGCTCGAAATCGGGCATTGAGTGGTGGCGGGCACTAAGTGGTGATGTAGTCTACCTAAAACCGAGCAATCAGGATCAGTCAACCCAAACAAACCGTCGACGAACAATATTCCCATGTAAGCATTGAAAAGCGTATCTGAATGACGGAAAGAGAAGGGTTGACAATTGCCACAGAATTGTTATCGGCGTCATTGTGGCTGCAATACCATCCTACTATTTCATAAACAGCAACAAGACACCAGCGTTCCGCCAGTCCAAGATCCGGGAGGCTCTAAACAAAGGCGATCCTTCGAACGAGTATCGCGAGCCCAGAGACAATGATGTGAAGACATTGGAAGATAAGAAGAGAAAGCAAGGCAATTGAAGGGTGATAAATGGTTTGAACCGAGCACCTGGAAGAGAATGAGCATCTGAAGAGAATGATCATCTGGAAGAGAAACGCGATCTCTTCAAGACGAGAGCCCAAACCTAAATATAAGGTCATAAGCAGAATTAAAGTATCAAAAAGCACGCAAAGCTTTTGGACAGTGCCACCGGCATGCTACAGGCTATAGCACAAGCACACACAGACAGGGCCACAGCCTAGATATAGGCAAAAAAGGAGGTGGAACACAGGCAATTGAAAATACTCTGTGCTATTATCCAATAATTCAATCCAATCAAACAGTATCCATTCCTGAGACTCAAAATTACAAAATTTTCCTCATATTGGATATTGCTCCTAACACCAGGTCCGATAGGCTCCAGCATCTTCAGCAGCTCGTCGCACACGAGATCCTGCGCTGTCTTACCCTCGCCGCTCGTACTGGCCATGCGACTCGGAACTCAGGCTTGCAGCATTCGCCAGTGCCTGCTGCCGTACTCTGTCGTTCTAGCAAGTACAAGCTCTGCCAAAACCAGGCCCTATCCCGAATTACGTGCTAATTCACTGTACTCCGTCAGAGTGTGTAGATGGAAGTTGGGGTTGATACTTACGAATGGTACAGCCCTGGAGTCACCATGTTGACGGTGGGAGGGAGGGAGGAAGATGGATTCCACTCGGCGACGGGCCGCACACTAAAGTCCTCTAGAAGCTTGGAAATAGGGTCGATCGCCTATATTCGCCTTTTAACTCATTATTCAATTTCTAAAAGATCTGGCCCTCAGAAGCATCTCATGCCTTTCCCTTTTTGGGAACTTGGGAGTCCCGATGCCCGCATCTTCGATGAAAGCATTGACACGCTCCAGTTCTTTCTTCGCACGTGCTATGACATTCTGCACGCTGCCGTAGTTAGCCATGTCCAGCTGCCATACTTCGACCACGCCTCTTGCACAGCCGCTTGAGTTCTCATTGTCTATTTCTGCGGCATTGCCCTTTTGGAGGCTGCAGACTGCAAGGATCAAGGTGCTGGCTCCGAGGCGGGCCACTTCGAAGTGGCGGGCTAGTTCTTTTCCAAGACCAACATTGCTGCCACTCACGATGACCGTTTTGCCCTGGTAGGAAGTTTTTGGGTCTGGGAGTGTGAATGAGCTGGCTGCTGAGGAAGCTAGGAGAGACAAAGTGCGTGATTAATTAGGAGATAAGTTCGGATTTCTTGGGAAGATTCCACGACTTTGTGAAAAACGAAGCAAACTCGATTTCTTATAGCTTTCATCTGAGGCTTTACTATGTGGTAGGGGCTTTCTACAGTAGATAAACGTCAGTAGAAACTTATTGCTTATTGAGTTTCAATCCACACGCTTCATTGAGCCCGTGTTTGGGCCTTTTCCCGTGGTGAATACTTCCCGACATGTATCTGTAACTGCCTGCTCTGATCTCCGAGGCCGTGTGCTAAGTATTCGCAATCCGAGACTGAATTGCAACATTTTCATTTACTTCACCTGCTTCCCTCATTCCACATGAGATAGACGGACTTCAGAAAGTCGGATTTAAGCTCCCGAGATGAAGTGCTACACATACCCTGGAGATCACAAACATACATGGGTATCTATCTCTGCGATTCCAATTGAATAATTCCATTCGTCTTACCTTGACCTGGACAAGTAGTGGCTTCATTCCTGGTGCTTTCTTGCAATATTCCTATGAGCGGCTTGACAAGGGTGATTGTGCTTTGCAAGAACCCAAAATACTCTATGCCTAACCCACGAGGGACACGATCATTTCTGGTATTCACCCGAAGGCTCTGTGATGTCTGGGAAGTATCAAGGCACAGATTGCCGTCGCCTGGCACGAGATGATGTCCATAAGAACGGACACGAAACATGAAGCACAATGAGTGATCATTCTGACGTCATCCTGCACCTACCACCCCAGAATTCGGAGCAGACTTCCGCGAGACCTTCATCTTTCCTCTCAATCTTGTTGAATCGAACCTGGCTTTTACTTACTTCCAAAGGCCCTTTACTAGCAAGATTATCTTCATTCCTTTCACACTCACTGACAACTACATTCATACAAAACTCAATATGCCCCGTGGTGCAGACTTCGACGACGGTGTCCCACGTTCCGATAATGCCATCGAACCAGGCCATAACGTTACTCATGGCGCTGGCTCAGAGGTAACCCAACTTCCCCCTGCACTCTTATGCATCCTCTACGACCAACAGAGCTTACCGGCTCCTCCCCCACAACATCCCAAATCTGTCAACTAACCGCGAACTAGTCCACCTCCGAAGGTGTCGACCGCTCCAACAAAGCTGCTCCACTCCCTGAAGGCACCTCTGAGATGAAAGACCATCACTGGTACAGCGGCATGGGCAGTCGTGGGCATCCGGAATCTGGAAGTGGGAAGGGAGGACATGAGCCGAAAACGCTGGGCGAGCAGAAGGGGTTGGGTGCCAAGAAGACGTCGGAAAAAGCTGACGTTGCACCGGAGCTGCCATCGGTGAATCGGTTAGGTTGAGCGGATAGCCCAGCTTGAGATCGCGGGCGAATGGAATGCGCTACAAGACGCGGATTGAGTTCAAGAAGCTGGATTTGAGTGCTGGATTTGCTTTTTTCGTGCTTCAGCTCAAATAGCCACCAAGCAGAGATGCAACACCAAAAGTTATCCAAGATTAAATTGAGCTTGTTTCATCTTGACCAGAGATGCAGGAGAGCAGCTGATGCGGAGTAGAGGATCCATTCCTCTACTGCTTAACAGGCATATCGCATCTCCGCTGGTGACACCGGATATGGACCGCAAAATATGGATCAATGTTGTTCCAAGTGCAAGACTAGTAGACACCAGTAAAAAGCGGAACCACTCCTCAGCACTGGACATCTTGCTCAACTTCCCCTTCAACGCAGGACCATTCCACTCGTGGGCGGTGTTAAGCTCAACAGCACCTTGTGACAGCCGTCGTTCTCGCCCCTTGATGCAGTGGTTGATAATCTTGCATCGCGAGCGCAATGCACTCATCATTCCCACGATTCTCGCACCTGATTTTCTTGCCGACAGGGGATTCTTCACTCCCTTGACCATCACTTGCTGTCCCTATAACTCCTAGTATCTAGTCGTAAGCTTGGTCCATGATCACGTCGGACGGAGCTCTGCCCCAGAGAGCTGGAATGATCCCTGGACACTCGTGTCGACCCATCCACTTACCAAGCATCTTCCTCCCGTCGCGAAAGTCCTGATTTCTTTCGATCCTGCGAAGGAGACGCGGCACTGGAATTCGAGGCGACATCCCCCAAAGCTGGCCATATTTCCCTTACAACCACAAATTCCAGCCTTCAACTAAAATCCCCCGCCCAACTCATCAACCCTTCAAACTTCTCCACGCTGACTCCCCATGCCGACCCCGGGGTTGTCTCCTGTTACGACAGGGCATGGCGTTGGCCAAGCATTCGCCGTACGGGTACGGCCAAATGCTCCACAAGCGCTATGCCGCATCCGGCCTTAGGGCTGAGGGCAAGGGCAGGCTTGACGCGCCGCGCTGCGCGTCATATCTCGCTCTTCGCCTCCATAGCACTTAGATAGTGATCCATCTCCATCCACACCCACTTGACATAGTCATACAGTTGCTCTTGATAGCTTCTTCGTGACTCTCCGCTACTTCTAGCACACCATACCCTGTTGCACGGCTTTCCGTGTAATAAGTTATAAGCCGGACCTCCACTTTCAATGCAACAAGACCACAAGCTCAATGATCACACAAATTCGGACAGAGAAGATTGGTCTAAACGCCTTTCTCGCGGACCGCCGTGTACCGGATAAGCTGGCCCCATGCACTTGCGGATGGGCACGACAAACGGCGAAGCATGTCCTCTACTTCTGTCCAGAGTTCGCTGATCGCCGCGACCACCTGTTTAGAGACGCAGGGACTAACGACTACTCGAAGATGGTCGTAACAACAAGGGGCGCCAAAGCAGCAGCACGATGGCTACAAAGCACAGGACTCCTCCCACAATTCAATCTTGGTCTCAACTAACACTCACAGCCAGGGCCACACGGCCATTCACTTGGAAAGGATAGGAAATTGGGATGTCTCTTCGTAACCCTGTGTAACAGGACACGACTACCCGGTACAACACGAACAACAGCTACGGATGGCTTATAGGTTTTCTTCCCCGGAGGGTTTCTTCTATAGATTGTTATTAGCACCTCCCCTCATGAGCTCAACGACTCGATAGATGTAAGAATAATAATAATAATAATAATAATAATAATAATAGTTAATTATTGTTTATAGTTAAAAAGATGTTTAAAAAGTGGCTTTAAATGTCTCTAAAAAAGCAGCTAGAAAAGCGCCTAATTCTCATTAAAAGATTATTATATGAGCGACCAAGTCAATGTTACGAACCGCAGGTTACACGTTAGGTTCGCCGTGTAGAGATTGCTTGGCGTACGGCGCACAGATTGCTTGGCTGTGCTAGCGCTAGTGTCTTGGCGCGCACAACTTCTTTTATGTTAGAGCTGCGAGATCCTCTTGCTCTTCTTTTCTTTTTCTCTACGCTTCGTCTTGTTGATAGCCCTACCATAGCTCTGTAGCAGTCAATAACAACCGCTTTATCTAAAAAGCGATCAGCTCCAGCGCTTCCTGCCGCCAATATCGTCATCACCGCCGCAGCCCCCACATTTTGGAGTCTCAGCGGCCGCACGGTCTCCAGGCCCAGACGTTTTGAGGATTAGGCCCAAAACTGTATATACCATAGCCATAGATAATAGTAATAGTAATTAGAAGTTTGAGTTCCAAAGCATTCGAATTGACTCTTGTGTGGCCACTTTTGTTACTGTTGTCGGCCGGCTAAAAATCGGGCGTTCGGCCGGATCGGGCGTTCGGCCGGGTCGGGCGTTGAACAGGGATCCACTCTAATCAGCACTAAGATTTGATGTTCTCTTTCTTACTTGCAACAAAAAACTATCGGATAAGAGGTAGCTCCTGATCATGAGAGTTTGCTTAGCAGCTACTCGACAACACAGTGTGCAAGGATTGCGTGAGCTTCCTCTTTATCTAGCTGAACAGAATGGAGACTCGTTTCACATGTGTGGTACTCTGGACATGCAGATTAAAAAGAAGAAGCGCTTTTGATTAGGACAACTCTAAATCATCATGCTATGAATAAGCGATTTGTTGAGCGAAGACGAGGTTTCCCTACGTGGCAACGGCACTTGGCTTGATATCGCCCGCCTTGAAACTGCTCAACTGTGGTGTACCCTTGCTCGGTGGTTTGGAAAATCTGGTCTGCACGAACGTCTTGATAATTCCATGCTCCTTCTTGTCGAAAGCATCGTAAAGTTCACTGAATTCGTCGACCTTGAATCGATGGGACAAAATGATCGTGGGATCGAATTCCCCGCTCTCAATCTTCTCAAGCAATTCATGCCAATATTTCTGTACAGGTGCTTGTCCACAGCCACGCATCGTAACACCCTTCTCCATCAACGCTCCAATGAGGAATTGGTTCGTCATGGCGGCGTAGTCAGCCACCAGGGAGATTGTCCCGAATTTGCGAACGGCTCGTAGCATCTCGTTAGGAGTCTCACTGCTATCCGTTTCGAGGGCCATTGTACGCTCGACTGTGTGCAGTAGCCCTTTCGTGTACCTGAAAGCTGCGGCGTCAATGCAACAATCGACACCTTCCGGCTCGAGTTTGTAGATCTGACTGACGACATCCGACTGCTCGTCGAAGTTGATGACATGGCAGCCCATTTTCTTTGCCAGAGCGAGACGAGCAGGCACACGATCAATGGCAATCACGCGTCTAGCACCTGCGAGCTTACTCCACTTGCATGAGAACAATCCGACAGGACCAAGACCCCAGACTGCAACGCTCTTGCCATCTTTGACGTCTGCGCATATGGTGGCGTGATACGAGGTAGGGACGATATCGCTGAGATATAATGCTTTTTCATCGGGAACAGAGTCCGGAATTTTGAGAAGATTGACATCGGCGATAGGACAACGAACGTACTCAGCTTGACCACCATCGAAACCGCCAGCGAAGTGCGAATAGCCAAACAAGCCAGCAAATGGCTTCCCATACAACTTTTCTTGGAGCCTGGAGGAGTTTGTGCGATCGCACATACTGGACAGGCCTTCCTTGCAGAAGGAGCATTCGCCGCAACTGTGTTTGTTATGTCAGCGAATAGCATTCCCAGATACGGCTAGAAAATCGAGTCGAGAAAAGGACCTACGCGATCTGGAAGCTGGCGACAACTCGGTCACCCTTCTTAAACTTCTTTACCTCGCTCCCGACCTCATCGACAATGCCCATCCACTCATGGCCCAGAATCTCGCCCTTCTGCAACTGCATAATCTCCTTATGGTACAGATGCAGGTCGCTACCACACACCGTCGTACCTGTGACTTTGCAGATTACGTCCTTGGGCTCTGTGATGGCAGGCACAGGGACTTCTTCGACACGAACATCTCGGCTACCATGCCAACGAAGCGCAAGCATCGTTTCATTTTGACGGTACTTCGATTTATTGGTGGTAACGGTGGGTCGGTCACCGAGCTTCTCTTCAGCCTTATTGGCGACAAATGTATTCATGATTGCGGTCTTTTACGATGTTCTGAGCTTATGCGAGCGAGGAAAGGCCAGAAAGGGATGAAGAGGGCAATTTGACAGGATAGATGAAAGGTAAGTACAAATCGGAAGGATTTGTCTGGTGATGCTGGGAACGTCATAATGATGTACAAACTTGGTCATCTCTCCTAATCTGGAACTGATCGCCCGAAATCTCGATGAATAGTAATGGTTGATGAAGCTTTCACCTCGAAATACAGACCCAAGCTATATTCTCGAGCCATGCTGATCCCATGTAGCCGATCGCAAGGTCCTGACTGGAAGGATAATTTTCATTCAACAATTACCTGCTTTCGGGAGGTTTCTATGTCGTCAAAGTGTGATTGAGGTGCATTGGGTATTTACAAGCATTTCTGACGGATGCCGGAGGGCCTCCAGGATGAAACCAGACAAAAAGTTGGAGCTGGATGACATTTGCATCCTGCTATGAGTGAAGGAAATCCGTTGTGATTCAAAAAGCAGCAGTCTAACGATAGTGCGGTATGGACGCAAGAGAAGCACAAAAGTCCACCCTGCTTGACTGTCCGCCTCCTGAGTTCTGACGAACCGGCTGCCTGGGCATGGGGCCACTTCCAATGGTTTGAGCGGGATTGTGAGCTCCTGTGGGTGCACGGGCAGTGCAGGAAGGTAGAGAGGTTTCACTTGGTTTGGGCTTAGTCGCGACGTCGATCCAAACTAGAATGACAATGGCCCTCGTGAACTCCCTGTTGCGCAGCCCAATGGCATTCTCGGACAGTATCATCAGACTATATTGAACCAGGCACAGAGTCGGTCGTGTCGCGCTTTCAGTGTATATGACCTCAAGCAGAAGCGTCTTTTCGGCAAGGGTGGTGCCATGGTTGCGTCAAAATTGATTGATTGGGATGAGGATGAAGGAGAAGCTGCAGAACAAAGCGGAAGCTAATCTAGGACCTCGCCAAGCGCAGCTAGCTAACGGATCCCATGTAACAGGTGGAGGCGGAGGCAAAACTTCAATAGGCGGGGAATCAGCGGCAAGGGATTGCTCGGCTCCCGCCCTTCGCCTCGGCGTAAACTTCATCAAATTTGGAAAGATACTGCTCAAGGCGGATATGCATCCAGTTTCATTGCGAACTTCTACTGTACCTGGAAGACACGCAGTTCTGATTCTGCATCGAGATGTCGAGTGCAGATTGAATACCTTTCTGCGTCGCGTATACACTTACCGAGTTCGTCGCGGCAGATTCCACCTCCTACCTTCTCAGATATCGTCATTCTGTCTTCAATCCTTATCACTCCCCTGTAATCATGCAGGCTTAAGCGTATGAGACACAATGCCATGGTCCCTTAAGCGATGTCCAATCGAACAACTTTGACAGCAAATCTCTCACTTTTACGTCAAACGTTGATGAACAGGACTGTCACACAGACTATCTTGAACAGCTCTCACTGTACGCCCTCTGGAGTAAATACCTCCGGCAGCCACGGGGAGTCAAAACATTTCCCAAGTAGACAGTCCCGACTTTGAACCTTTGATTAGCATTTTCCCCTCCAAGTTCCGTCAGCTCTACCCTCCTCTCTAACACAAACACACAACTCACCCAACTTTCTATATAATACGGCTTCCACAGTGAGCACCGATAGGTAACATCATTCTTGATGAGTGATAAGAAAGTCCCACCGTATGTCAACCGCCCACGGGGAGCCACAGGCATCCTTCCTAGGGTCGCTGACTTTCACGCAGACCAGTATGCCAGGTCGAATACAAACCCCATCCGACGGAGAAGATGCTAGCGTGTCAGTATATGGGACCAAAGAATATGCAAATCAACTCCGTTCCCAAACCAATGATCACGGCTCCCAAGGACTGCATCGTCCGAATCACCCATTGCACTATCTGTGGTTCTGATCTTCATGTGTGAGTCTGGTGTCGAGCAAGATCTATTTCATAACTGTCGCTAATATTTCGTTTCCTGCCAGATGTGGGTGAGCTGGACTCTGCTATGAAGAAGGGCGATATCATGGGGCATGAGGCCATTGGATTCGTCGAGGAGGTTGGTCCTGAGGTGAAGAAAATCAAGAAAGGAGACAGGGTCATTATACTGCCAGTCATCTGCTGTGGAGAATGCTTCTACTGCAAGAAGCAGGTCAGTACTCGCAAAGGCGAAGACCACATTCCATATTTAGCAGACTGATAGGGTGATGGATAGGAGTACTCACTTTGCGACCGAACTAACCCCGTTCCAGAAATGGACAAGATGTGGTATGTACCCACGTCTGGTCGCAACCATGTATAGCACTGGTGTTGGCTCACATGATTTGCAGGGGTCATCGTCTTTCGGGCATCTTCGGCTACACTCAACTCACAGGAGGATATCCGGGAGATCAGGCCGAATACTGCCGCATTCCCAATGCTGACCTTGTCTGTGTCCAGGCACCAAAGGAAGGTGTTTCGGCAGAAAAGTTGCTTGCACTTGCAGACGTTGCAACAACGGCTTGGCACGGCTGTGAATTGGCAGAGGTCGGTAGAGGCCACACTGTCGCCGTGTGGGGATGCGGCCCGATTGGACTCAGCATTCAAAAACTCAGCTTCTTCAGAGGAGCCTCCAAGGTGTATGCCATTGATCCAGACCCAAAAAGATTGAAGATCGCTGAGAGTTTCGGGGCCGTTCCTGTCAACGTTACCGAACACAATGATGTTGCAGACTATCTCCTCGAACAGGAGCCACATGGATTGGATAAGACTATTGAGGCGAGCGGATTCAGAAGTGCACAGAGCTTGATTCACAAGACCATGAGGACCTTAGGTAAGTAATCCGTCTATCACCAACATCACCTTCCAACATCACTGCAGATCTCGAAGGGGATCAGTCCGACACAGTCGCGGCTGCCATCAAGGCGTGCCGAAAGGGCGGTAACCTCGCTTTGATCGGAGATTTCTTCTTCAACACCAACGAGTTTCCGATTGGGGCGCTTATGGAGAAGACTATCACTCTACGTGGCGGTCAATTGTTTGCACAAAAAGTCTGTAACCGCTGTTGTCCCGTCTTAAGGAAGACGAGGCACGTTACTAAAACAAGACAGTATCACCCATACCTCCTGAATATCACCGTGGAAGGCGACTACGATCCATCCTTCGTCTTCACTCACAAAGGTAAATTATCATGTCAGCGTTACCGCTTCATGGCTCTAATACTTTCACTAGAGAAATTCGAGAACTTGCCCTCTTTGTACAAGATGCAGAATGAGCATACGATGCCAGGTGGACTCAAGGCTGTCGCTGTCACGCCCTACGGACGCGAGCTTGAAGGTTCAAGCTAGTGGCGACTATCCAGGCTCAAATGACCTGGCCATTGCTTGCAAGTTGCTGGTGTGTTCGCTTCCACTCTGAAGCACAAATCGAAAACGTTCTTATGCTGCTGGCCGATGGTAGAGTTTGAGGCGGCATGGCTATTGCTTTCATTCTTCTTGCGTACTGGCTTTGTGCTGAAGAACAGATTGTATCCGCTCCCTAGCAATAAAAATTATCTCTGACAGCTCTCATATCCTAAACTACTTAGTCGTAGAAGCAAATCGGAGATCATCTAAAGCAACGGGGCTTCCGGATGATGGCGGAATCCCAGGTGAAGGATTGGATGTGTCATGTGATCACCTCGCCTTGTTACTTGGCGCGTCTTGTTCTCCTCCTTTTCAATTCAAGCTCCCCTCCCTCGTATCAAGCAGATTCCTACCCGGCTTGGCAGTAAGCATGGCCCAGTCTCGGAATGCTTCGGGAGAGTACTGGTGCCTGCTTTCTGGAGACAAGGCTCGGGCAGTTACTGGGCCTCCGTGGCCCAATGGGTGGAGCCCTTTCAGTGCCCCACTTACAGGGTGGTTACCCCCTTGTAAGCCCGCGTGGCTGACGAGTTTGTCTCCGGACCGCCCCATCTCACGTCCCGCACAGCCACAACGCCCCATTTACGTAAGTGATCCTTACGCTCTGATTGGTCAATTTCGACATCGCATAACTTCGTGGCGTAGGCCATACATTTTCGTAATTCCCGTCGATTTGCGCCTGCTGTCGAACTTGTACGCTGTTGAAAAGCTTACCATTGCTGCCCTGACTTGAGAGTTTGCTACGTTCTGCCTATATGCTCTCGAAGATCACTGTCAGGTTCCTAAAAGTCTCGAACGCGAAGGTCGTTTAATCGAACAATATCAGCGGCCGTGATTGACATAGCCAAATGTAAGGTTCACGGCGGCTCCACGGTACCTTCTCAAGTTATGACTGCTGACCAGCACTTTGCGGGATGTGACATGACTCAACAAAATACCCGTCTTGTCCATGTTGTACACATTTTTTGGTTGGATGCCCTCATAGAGCTCTTGGCCTATAAGGGCAAACCAGTCCATAATCTTATTATAAATATTGTCATCATGCCGTGCTTGATCCAAGGCTTTGACTGTTTTAGCTTTAAGAATAGGATGACGTTTGTAGAAACCTTGAGGCCAATTCTTGCCGGGCAAATGCAGGTCAGGGTCGTCAGAGCCTCGACGGCGAGCGATGACCAGTGCGAGTGATCGAAGGGACTTTACAGGCAGGGGATATCTATGTTTGGCATATTCTAGGACATAGCGGACCAGCGCTTCCTCTTCGTAGGGAGTGAGGTATTGTTAGCGTATGGCATTGTCTTTCAGCCTCGGGCGGCCTTGAGTATAGCACTACAGAGTCGATCTGCTCGGCTGCAAGGAAACGCCGTTCTTGTCGTGGCCAGCCTTGCCTTAAGTTCATGAAATGATCAACATAACTAGTCAGAACCTTTTTCTAGTGGCGAGTAATGATCTAATTATCTAAGCGTGATAGTATATGTAGGAAAGAAACCTTAAGGCAGGATGGCGGCGAATCACATAGCTTCGTCATGGAAGATAATGGAATCACGTTAAAGATGATTAGCGGTGCTGTGACTAGAGTATATATGTCTTTACAAACTATTTTCCTTATTAAGCTATAAAGATTTAATACTAGAATTTCCAGAAGTACCTTTCTACGCTATCGAAATTCTCTGAAAATCATCAGTAATTGTCATGATATGCCAAGCCACATCCTGTAGCAGCTGTATAAGGCAGCTCTACCGAAGGTCACGTCCCGCGGGTGCGATGCGAACTCCAACACAAGCGTTACGAACACAAAGGCCACATCCCGTAGCCCTGCGCTACTACTGCAAGGGCTACGAAGCGTAGAGGCTACATCCCGTTATGACCGCATTAGTGTTATAGGGATCGGAAGGGCTTTCTCTTAAGTAAAGGGAATGCCCATTCTGACTAAAGAACGCAGGAATTAGTTTACTGTTATCCATACACCTACCAGTGGTAATAATCTAAGTCACCGTCGTTATACCAGTGCTCTACCAGTGCCTATCATTCTGCCAGTCAAAACCTTACAGTAATCCACCACGTCTAGCTGTATCTTCGAGTGAACGCTAAACTAGTGAATTGTGGTTCGTTTTCGCAGTATAAGTAATATTATATAGCAGATAAAGATCAGTAATAGTAATAAATTTCTCTTAGTATTAATAATTAATCACTAGTTATATATTATTACGTATTCCTTCTTCTGTGTTATAACGTAGCTTTTCTTAAGGTGTTAAAGTCTATATAAATATCTGTATATTTGATTTGCATTATCCAGAAAGGAACTATTATATTTAGTAGTAAAGAATAAGGGGCCCTTCAGGCTAAGCTCTAGGTACCCTACTCTACTTTCGCTACCTAAGGATTTTAGAGAGTTATTCACTACATTAAGATATAAGTTAGGAACCAGTAGGATAAGCACTCACGCCTAGTGATTCATAAGGTCATAAAGAGTGCATAATACCGTGTACCCGCAGAGCATAGCTTTTATAATAGTCATGATGCTCAAGCCAAATCCCGTCCAAAGAGCAAGAAGGATAGGGACAGGTGAACGGCTCTCCTTAAGGAAGGTACTGAAGATGCTGCAGCTGTACATGCTGAGCCAGCGACCAGGGGCTCACGAAGCACCGGGTTCTGATCTCTGTTGCCAGACTAGCATCCCCTAAACAGAATAGATACTGGGTTCCAGGACAACGGATAAGATAGACATCAGGATTAGTGGCTAGGAGGCAGGGTGTGCTTTCAGCGGCACTGTCTAAGCCAACCGTATTAAGTGTATCTTGATCAGCGTGTTCCAGTTAATGCTGTAGCTATGGATACTTATGACAGCTATATAGAGATATATAAAGTCAGATAATCTTGTAGCTATCATTATTTTGTTGTTAACAAGATTTAGGTATTAATATAGCTAAAGGAAATAGTAATCTTGCTAGTCTTTTATATTCCCTGAAGCGGAATTCTGATATAAAAAGGCTAGTAGGCTCCTCTTAGCTAGTATATTAGTTCTAGAGACACTATGCTCTAGAGTTTTAAAATATTATTAATGTAAAAGCTTAAATAGCTTATTTATCTTTCGCTTTAAGAGACTCCTAAAGCCTTTTTCTAGCTAAGTATAGTCCTTAAGCTCTAATTTAATTGTTAAATCTTGCTTAGCCTTTTTTCTTGTAGCTATAACAGCTATAATAATCTTAGATTATCTTCTTGCTATTATTAAGGAGCTATTTTATTATAATAATCTTAATGTTATTTTGTGCCTAGAAACGCTATATAAATATAGGTTTAGCAGAAGTAACAAAATCTGTAGTAAGGGACACGTAGCCTATTAATTTTATAATTATTGTATTAGAAGACGTTTTAATAAAGGCAGATATAATATTAGTATTAGTAACCTGGTTTTAATAGCTTTATTAATAGATTAACCTATTAATATATTTTATAACCTGGTTCTGTACTCTCTTTATTATATAAGTTAGAAGAATTATAAATAAACAAGTAGAATTAAAGTAAGATTTATCTAGAAGTATCTCTGTTATACTATAATAAAGCATCTTAAATTTAAAACTTTTCTTTATACTAAAAGATTTATCTAAGTGTTAATTCTAAGTTGCTATCTAAATATATTATATAGCTAAGAGAAGTAAAGTATAAATCTTCTTCTTTGTGTCCTGGACGAACTAATACAGTACTAGGACTCCTTGCTACTCTGCAGCTTACTTAATAAGTATAAAGGCAAGTTAATTAGAAATATTAATTTTATAAATATCCTTAGGCTTGCGGATTTACTTGCTTATAAAGGCTTTGTCCTTAAGTGCTAATTTGTAGATAACTTTGATTAAACAGAAACTTAGAATATTCTATCGCTCTAGAAATTTAATTAAGGGTCTAGTATTATAATTAATAAGTAATGTCAAATTAATCTATAAAAGAACTAACAAATTTTTATAATTTTGTCTATCTTTAAAGAGTTATAGCGTAATAAGTATACTTAGTTTTATATTACCTAGGTTCCTCTTATCTTAAAGAGTGTAAAATTAAATATCTCTATATTGTGATAAATAATATATTTCTTTTACTATAGTACAGAAAATACATGTGCTAGCCACCTACTCAGGAGGTAACGCCTATAACTGACTTACAGCAGCAAGCAAACTTCTGCTATAGGGCGCTTATTAAAGTGTATGAGCTATCCGGACAGATTACAAATAGAGAGAGGTTCGCCTTATCTGATTAGGGAAGCCTAAACTTTACTATATAGCAGGAGGCCAGATTAGAAACTATGAATACTCTGTGGCCTATAGCGTGGCCTATACATATATAGGCCTTACCCGTTAGCGTTAGAGTATATAAATCTGTATATAGCTATATATTATAAATAAATTTTCTAGCTTTCATTTTAGTAATTTATAAACTATTAACTTATTCTAGTTTCAAGCTATTATAGTAAATAAAAGCTTAATACTTACTTACTATCCTAAGAGATGATACAAAACTCTCTTATCTATAGTATAGCTATTAGAGAACCCATCTAAGATTATTTTATTATGTGAGAAAGTTATTACTCTAGGAGTAACGTAAGGCCTATTTGATATAAACATCTTGTATTATACGAAGGTTTAAGAACTATTAAGTCAAGATGATTTGTGATCAAATAGAGAAAAGGGAGAGTAGCGAAGTTCGTTATCCTTTCTTAAGCAACTAGAGGCGGAGCTTAGACAAAGCCTTATCTACAGATTAAGATGCTTTGCGCATATTAATTAAGCACGCAAAAAGAGTAACGAATAACCTATTAGCTCTTTTAGCCTTTATAACACTAGTCAATAAGAATTAGATATACATAGTAGTATTTATACTAATATTAGTAGCTACTTATAAGAAAGAGAAAGCCCTCTGTTTAAAGAAGGAGGCTAAGTATTAAGAAGCTCTTTAAGAGA